TTTTCAGCCACTAAATGTTGGGGTAATCCATAGTGCGATGATAGATCACTAATACAATGAAGCAGACCCATACATCACAAGGCATAGTTCTTTTTTGTTTGTTGTATTTTTCCATTTTTAATTTTATTTAAGTTATACAAGTTTCACGTATTTCATATATACAAATTTAGAAACAGTGACACTTCCCCTACCTTCCATCCCTCCCATGCTCCAACCCTTCCTCTTCCCCCCTCTTACATTCCCACTCTTAATTTTTTTAAAGCTTTTATTTAATGAATACAGTTTTGTTAAGTACAGCTTTAGGAATATAGTGGGTCTTCCCCCATTCCTGCCCTCCCACACCCACTCTGGTCCCACCTCCTACTCCCTCTCCCATCCCATTCTTCTTTAAGATTCATTTTTAATTAACTTTATATACAGAAGACCAACTCTATCCTAAGTAAAAATTTCAATAGTTTGCACACACACACACAATGTAAAAAGCACTATTTGAGAACAAGTTTTGCAGTTGATTCTCATAGTACAACTCATTAAGGACAGAGGTCCTACATGGGGAGTAAGTGCACAGTGACTTCTGTTGTTAATTTAACAATTGACACTCTTATTTATGACCTCAGTGATTGCCCGAGGCTCTTGCCATGAGCTGCCAAGGCTATGGAAGCCTTTGTGACTGCAAACTCCATCAGTATTTAGACAAGGCAATAAGCAAAGTAGAAGTTCTCTCCTCCCTTCAGAGAAAAGTACATTCTTCTTTGATGGCCCCTTCTTTCCACTGGGCTCTCACTCACAGAGATCCTTCACGTAGGATATTTTTGCCACAGTGTCTTGGCTTTCCATGCCTGCATTGCTCTCATGGGCTTTTCAGCCACATCCAAATGCCTTAAGGGCTGACTCTAAGGTCAGAGTGTTACTTAAAGGATTGTCATTCTACACAATGCATAGTTCTTAGAAGCAATGATAAAAGGTAAAAGTACATTGCATAATTTCACATTGCATATGAAGTCTTACATTTGCACATCCCATCATTTAAATATAGCAAATGGGCCATCGTCCACTGCCTCATCAGACGCATCAGTAGGGAGCTGCAGTGGAAGCTGAGCAGCAGGACCTGAACCAGGCATCACCAGCAGCTGCTTAGCCCTCTGTGCCACAACACCAGCCCCTATTTAAATACCCTGTAAATATACATCTATCTCCTACAAAGTATACAAACAGCGTCATGATGGAATTTGTATCAGAGAAGCAAAGAAAGAGCACAGGACTAGGGGAGGCTACAAAAGCGCCTTCAATTTTACACAGAATGTTTTAGTTCAATCACGCTTTTGAAAGATCCAAAGCAAATGTAAGAAAACGTCAATTCCGGATGGTGAGCATTCTTAAATTTTTCTCAAAGCTTCATGTATTTTTCAAACTGCTGCCTTTGCCTAGGCATAAATGTAAACAAGGACTTAGTTATAAGCATGTTCAGGCTGAGTACAGCACTGTTTACGGGAGGAGGTTCAGCTCTTTGATGGGCAAGTCCGAGCAAACCTGCGAGGACCAAATCAATGCCATGGTGTTTAAACTGCTGCCAAGCATGGGGAAAGACACGAAGCTGTCCAACCTGCATTGCACTGGAATGTTTACAACCTAGGCTGTATGTTTGGATGAAAAACACTGGCCAGTTAACCCATCCATAATCAGGACAATAAAAAGAATGAGACAGAGTTAGATGGCTGGACTCCAGTTGGGAAAGTATCTAAGATTCTGATACCAATAAACAAATTATTTAACGAATTCCTTAAACTATGCCTGCCTACACTTGTCATGTAAGAAGCATTGTTGAAAATTCAGTGATGCGGTCAGCACTGCAGCACAATGAGTTAAGCTGCCACCAGCAATTCCACTGCCCTGTATGGGCCTGGTCTGAATCCCAGCTGCTCCACTTTCAATTCAGTTCCCTGCTCTCCCTGCCATTCCTGGGAGAGCAGCAGAAGATGGCCCAAGTGCCTGGACCCCTGCCACCCATGTGAGACACAAGGAATGAGTTCCAGGCTCCTGGCCTCAGCCTGACTCAATCCTGGCCATTGCAGCTATTTAGAGAGTGAACTAGCAGATAGAAGATCTCTCTCTCTCTCTCTCTCTCTCTCTCTCTCTCTCCCTTCACTCACTGTAGCTCTTTCAAGTACATAATTAAATCGCTAAAAGAAGAAAGGAAGGAAAAGAAAAAGAAAGGCAGGTCTGTGCTAAGGGAAGATGTACTCTGCTTCCCACAGCCTCACCCCCGCTTTAGTGTGGCTGAAATCTCCATGGACCATGTGGGAGAGAGTATCAGGCCAGGGTGTCCAGCAAAATGCCATTTCTGGAAGACATAATATCTGTGGCAATTCCTTTGTGATGCCAAAGTCCCTCCGTCCCTTTCATTTTGGATCTCAGTTTCCAATAACTGAGTCCATCATAATCCTTATTTTATGGGGAATTATCACCGCTGGCCCTTGCAAAGTCCTCCTCTTATTTATTTGTAGGTACTTGTGACTTGATACTTGAATTCCTGTTATCCTCATGTCCCATTCTCTCCCTCAGATAGTAACTCTGCTCTACTTTATGCATTTCTTTGCATGAATTCTTATAAAGTACATATTATTATTTATATAAATGGCATAAATAATATTGTGATGATGTGAGTGGCAATGTGCATGTATCTCATTCTGTTTTGTAACTAAGCGGGACACTCTGAGACCTGTCCATGCAGCTATGTGCATATAAATACTATTGCTTCCAACCCCTGCAGGAGCCTCTGTGGGGGTTCCACCATCTCTTGCCTCCCCACTCTCTCCCCACTTCCTCTGAAGTCTGTGCCCCAGAGGAAACACCACAGTGAACATCACCCTTTGTACCCCTCTGGTCCTGTATGAGACTCTGGGGGGAATATACACTCAGGTGCAGGGCTGCTGGGTCGTGGGACATGCACTTATACACTCGACATAAATAAGTTCAGATTGCTCTTTAAAATTTCCAGCCACTCCAGTAACTCCGTCAGAATGGACGAGCATTCCTATAAACTCACATTCCCACCAGCACTCGGCATCGTCAGCGGCAGCAGCAAACCATCAGCTGGGAGACAAGTGCAGCCTGCGCCCTGTTTTTGGGAGTGAGGTCTTAGTAGGACTCAGCAGCGCTTACTTGGGATCGTCTGTAGATGCTTTCAGGATGCAACAGCAAAATCCAGTAGTTGGGACAGAGACCATGTCTCTTACAAATCCTAAAATACTTACCATCTGCCCATTTGCAGAAAAAAAATATTGATGCACTCTGAATGGTACTCTACTCTGCCAGCAGAATTTCTCTGAAAAATAATACTTTTGAGTATTCTTCTGCAGGGCTTTTGGCCTAAGGATTCGCTTTCTGTGAGGTTCCCTTCATATCGGAGGTACTTCCGGTCCTAGCAGTTCCAGAGTCATAGAGGCTTTCGTCTTAATTCACTTGGGAACAGCAAGGACATCACACGCCACATTGGGAGACTCACATAGACGAGAGCTCAGAGGTCGGATTAATCCCACCCTTTTGCTTCAGCGATTAGGATCCGGTCTGCCTCGAGGTCATCTGCTATGTGAGTGGCCACGGTCAAGGGCTCTTTCCTCACCAGCACCAGCGGGCATTTCCAAGCAGGCTGTGGGCAAACACCCACACTCTTGATCCTCAGCCACCCCTGAGATCACGCTGTGAGGGTCCCACTGACAGCCAAGTTCCTCCTGCACACTTTACTTTTTTTTCCTTTTACTTAAAAGATTTATTGATTTATTTGAAAGTCAGAGTTACACAAAGAGAAGGAAAGGCAGAGAGGCAGAGAGAGAGAGAGAGAGGTTTTCCATCCGATGTTTCACTCTCCAAACAGCCACAATGGACAGAGCTATGGCAGTCTAAAGCCAGAAGCCAGGAGCTTCCTCTGAATCTGCCACTCGGGTGCAGAGGCCCAGGCACTTGGGTTATCTTATGTTGCTTTCCCAGGACATAGCAGGCAGCTGGATCAGAAGTGGAACAGCCAGGACTCGAACCAGCGCCCACATGGGATGCCGGCACTCAGGTGGCAGCTTTACTCACTATGCCACAGCTCAGGCCTGATGCTTTTGTCAGGAGGAAATTAGTTGAGTCCAGCAGGCACTAAGCACACCCCCCACCCCCAGCCAGGCCTGACCCTTCTGCAAAGGAGTTGCCATAAATCTGGACTTGGGCCACCTTCCACTGCTTTCCCAGGCTGTAGCAGAGAGCTGGATCAGAAGTGGGGCAGCCAGGATTGGAACCGGTGCCCATATGGGATGCCGGCACTGTAAGCGGAGGCTTAGCCCACTACACCATAGCGTTGGCCTCGTGTTTTTAAAGATTTTATTTATTTATTTGAGATGTAGAGTTATAGCAGAGAGAGGAAGAGACAGAGAGAAAGGTCTTCCACCCACTGGTTCACTCTCCGAATGGCCACAATGGCTGGAGCTCAGCTGATCTAAAACTCCAGGAGCCAGGAGCCTCCTCCAGGTCACCTATGGGGTGCAGGGGCCCAAACACTTAGACCATTCACTGTGTTCCCAGGTCATATCAGAGAACTGGATCAGAAGAGATGCAGCCAGGATATGAACCGGTGTCCATATGGGATGCCGGTGCTGCAGGCAGAGGCTTAGCCTACTGTGCCACAGCGCCAGCCTCTCCTTGTTTTAACCTACAGCTTCCTGAACCATTTCTGTCTTTGACTTCCCATCTCCACTTACAGTGGGGAAACTGAGGCACTTGGGCTCAGAAGAGCCCTTGGTGGTGGAGAGGTTGCAAGCCAATGAACTGTTTGTTCTCCCATGCTTCCGACTCGAGCGTCTGCCATTCCACACACTGGCTCCCCTGGCCACTGACACAGGGCCCAGGACCACTGAGCCCCAGTGGGACTGGGAGGAAATCTGTGGGGGTGTAGAAAAAGGAAGGAACGTGTTTAGAAAGTCTGATGAATTATCCCAGCCACATTTCTTTAAAAAAATTTATTTGAGAGAGAAAGCAGACATACTTTTAGCCTCATTTAATTTTTTTGAGAGCGGAAGAGAGCTCCCATCCTCTGACTCACTCCCCAAATGTCCACAAGGGTCACGGCTGGATCGAGGATGAAGTTAGGAGCCAGGAACCCAGCCCACGCTCCCAAATGGGTGGCAGAAGCTTGAGCCCTCATTTGAGCCCTCACTGCTTCCTCCCCAGGCCACTGGAGTCAGGAGCCAGAGCTGGGGACCGTGCCACCTTTCTGTGAGCGTCTGGCAGCAAAGGAGTCCTCGGAAAGACTGGACGGTATCCAAAGAACGAGAACCGGCGTAGAAGGCTTTGCTGAAGTGAAATGACGTGGCGACCTCAGAAACTGCTGGCTGCAGCGTGGACCGTGCGTGCTGGAAGGTTAACCTGGGTGAAGAAAGCTCCATGAGTGGCCACACAAGCTCTCTCATCAGCCCCTGGAGAGACGCGGGGGCTGCACTCGGAGCAAAGCAGAGAGCAGCAACGCCGGTGCTGGGCCGGAGACAGGCGCCCGCAGGGCGGCGGTGCACTGCGGACAGACCCTCAGAGGGGTGTGAAGACTGCTCTGTCGGAAGCTGGGCCCAGGGCCGGCTGTGCTGTCAAGTGCTTGCTTTGCACAGACTTGGGGAGGTTGGTCGGGAGTAACTGGTGTCACTGCTGCACAATTTGCCTAAACCTGTCACACAGCAAGCTGGTGGACAGGAAGGGGATTTGCAGCCTCTTTGGCTGTAGGAAGTGGGTCGGTCACACATTGGCTGGCCAGGAAGCACGGTGCCCCAGGAAGCTGATTTGCACGGGCTCTTTGCAGAACAAGGAGGCTGGCAGTTATCCACCGGCTGACAGACGAGGGCTAGGGAAGGAGCTGGCTGGCAGCAAAGCAGCTGACAAGGAGGGGACACGTAGCAAGTAGGATGGCAAGCAGTGAACACGCAAGTCAACGGCTGGCCGGAAAGGGGCACGCAGGGAGCCGATGCGCAGGGCTTGAAAACGCAGCAGATGGGTTGGTAATAAGTCGGGCTGCAGTGCTGGCCTTCACCACCTGGGGGTTGACAGAAAGTTGCTTGGCAGCAGGCTGGTTGGCACGGACTAGCTGCGCAGATGACGGGCGAGTGAGGCGTCTCAGGATGAGGCGTTGTTGCTTCGGAGCAGGACGGCTGGCAGGATCTAGCGTCACGGCAGACTGCCTGGCCACCAGCTGCCTCGCATGCTCCCGACACACAGCTGGGTTCCTGGCGGCAGCGTTGCTGGCAGCGGCTGGCGTCACAGTGCTCTACCTGACAACCAGTGGATTCCAAGCAGGACGGCTGGCATGAGCTATCCGCACCGGGAGACTGGCCAGCCCCCGATGGACAGCTGCCTGCACAGGAACATAAGGGCTGGCAAAGAAAACCCACACAAGAAATTGTGGAAAGGCAAGTAGGTTGACAAGCAGCAGGTTCACAGCCACGCGGGGCATTGCTGGGTGGATAAGAGTTGTCTGGGCATGTAACCAATTGCCATGTCCTGCTCTGGCAGGAACTGGGCAGACAGAGAGCCTTTGGGGAGCTGCCACCATCGGGGCACGCAGCTAGAATGGCCGTGGCATTTCCAGGACAAGAGCTGTCCATCATGGCGCAGGTGCCAACCCTGCTGGGAAGTCGCAAACTCAGTGTGCCTGAGTCTGAACCGTATTTAATCCACTGGGGCTTTTATAATCCTCCCCGAGGGGTGTCAGCACCACTCACAGCAGCTTTCCTTGTTATTGTTTTTATCCATTTGCATGCAAACATCTGATTAGTAGGCTTCAAGGAGCCTGGGAGTAGTCCCCATTTAAAAAAAAAAAAAAGTGTGTGTGTTGAGTGCAAGTTTTCTTGGCTGAGCTGGGGTTCATTGGTGCTGCTCTGGAATGAGCTGTGTCTTTTACAGGTTGCGCCGCAGCCTCACTGAAGCAGGCCCTTCCTGCACCACCCTCTCATCAGGAGGCTTCCGGTAAGCTGCAGCGCCTGCTCTTCTCCAGGAGTGCAGCTCTGCACCATAGGGCAGCCGGGAGACGAAGCTGCAACCCCACCGGGGGCCGATGGTGCCGGAGAAGTGGAGTGGCACCTCTTTCTGGAACCTTCTCGTTTGGCCTTCCTGGAACTTGACTAGTCCTACTACCGCTAGTAGTACTGGCCTCCATGCATTGCGTAGCTACCACATGCCAAACCCTGAACAGCAGTTTTCATAGAATCTTCTCGATGACCTTAGTAAGTGCAAAGACTATTCAAAGAGTTTGTGGGAAAAGGGAACTAAAAGATGAATTTCTGATGGGAAAAATTTGAAATCAAATAGGTTTTCATAACCTGCATTTTTCAGGGCCTTTCTTGAAATCCATGCCTCTTGTGTGCATAGATTACAAAAAATTTTGGCACTAAAGTAAGCTTATCTTTTTATTCCATTTTTCCACAAACTCTTTGAAATACCCTCAAATAATTACCATCACTATCATAGATGTAGCAAAATTAACTCAGAGTTTAAATCATGTTCCCCAAATTCTGCAAAGAAGAAGGAGGAGAAACAAGATTCAAACTTGGCTTTGGCTGGCCCCCAAGCCGCTGGTCCTAACCACCAATTAGACCGCCTGACCTGGGGGAGGTGGGGAAGGAGGACTCAACGTAGCAATGTGATGTGGATGCCTGCGCAGTGGCAGCTGGCTCCCAAGCAGCTTCCCCAGGCGCCCCTGTGGGGTCCTGTGCCAATGCCAGTGACTGCACACATCAGCCAGATCAAACTGATGTGAACACTTGCCCCTGCTTACCAACAGGCCCAAAGGTAGTCCTTCAGTTTGGGAGTTTTTAAAACCACACATTTCGTTAAGAAGGATTGGACGCATCCTAGGGAATCCAAGAGCTAAGAGAGCCTACGAGACCACACAACCAGGGCAGTCCTGCAAAGCGCTCTCAGAGCTAAGCCAAGCCCTCCCGAGTGGGGCTCACGGGGCACTTCCGCCACCCTCTCCTTTCCTCCAGTGTGCCCCAGCTCTCCCTCACAACCAGCTTCCGCATCCCATACCACGCTGCTCCATGTCCCAGCCTGGGTCACGTGGGGAGGCACAATATAAAACTGAAAGAACAAGGTTTGGAAGGCCAGGCGGGGCGGGGCTCGGTTTCTGGCTCTGCTCCTAACTCCACTCTGGTGGATGCGTTCGCTAATTGCCCACGTCTTCAAAGGCCCAAGCTTTCGTCAGCTGTGCTGCTGTTGCTTGCATTACCCCTCTTCCCTGGCCGCCTTACAAGTCGTGGGCAATGCTGAGGATTCTGAAAGGGACCTTGCAAAGCACCACCTCAGAGCCTGACTCCTGGCTTCAGCCTGGCTCAGCTCTGGCCTTTGCAGCACCTGGGGAGTGCACCAGCAGATGGAGGATCTCTCTCTCTCTCTCTCTCTCTCTCTTTCTCTCTGTCTCTCTGTCTCTCTCTCTGTCTCTCTCTGTGTGACTGTACCTTTCAAATAAAATTTAAAAAACTTTTGAAATCCACGCATAGTTTTTTCATAATATGCATGTTCCTTGAAGTTGTTGAAGATCTCTCCTATGTGGCTCATATCAAAAACATGAAGTTTGTATTCATAGTGTTGAGTCATTTTCAGTGCTTTATAATATTCCACTATATGAATTTACCACAACTTGCTTGTCTTTTTTTTTTTTTTTTTTTTTTTGACAGGCAGAGTGGACAGTGAGAGAGAGAGACAGAGAGAAAGGTCTTCCTTTTGCCGTTGGTTCACCCTCCAATGGCTGCCGCGGCCGGCGCGCTGCAGCCGGCGCACCGCGCTGATCCGATGGCAGGAGCTAGGTGCTTTTCCTGGTCTCCCATGCAGGTGCAGGGCCCAAGCACTTGGGCCATCCTCCACTGCACTCCCAGGCCACAGCAGAGAGCTGGCCTGGAAGAGGGGCAACCGGGACAGAATCCGGCGCCCCGACCGGGACTAGAACCCGGTGTGCCGGCGCCGCTAGGTGGAGGATTAGCCTAGTGAGCCGCGGCGCTGGCCAACTTGCTTGTCTTTTGATGGGCATTTGGATTGTTAGTCCTTCTAATTCTTCATCTCATAGATAGGGGAGAAAACAGAGAAAACAAATCTTATCTCACCAAATTATTTTGTTGATATGGGACATGAAGTCCAGCACTTGTCTCAGAGACTTAAAACCTTGGCCAACTGTTCTGTTGACTCTCAAAAGAGGCAGAACTAAATCTCGGTGTCCTGACGAAACAACTCCAACACCAATGTGATGAAGACGCTTTGCTTTTGGCTTTTTCCTTCTGCTACTGTCTAATGCAGTAGTTCTCAGACAGGTGATTTTACTCCTAAGGAAGTTTGGTAACATCTGGAGACATCACGCTCAAAGGATGCCCCTGGAACCTGCTTGGCAGAGACCGCGGCTGATGCATAGGAAAGCCCCCGAGCAAGCATTTCCCGGCCCAAATGTCAGGACGGCCAGAGTTGAAAAGCCCTGGTCAGTCTTCTCCCATGCTCGTGACTGCTCAGGCTGCACCCTGAGGACAGGGATAGCCCTGCCTTCTGCGCACCGAGTGTAAGCTGTGGCTGCTTTGACGAGACCCCATCCTCACAGATCATGAAAGGACGCTAATGGAGCCTACGCCGAGAGTGCCTTGTGGAGAAGGGGAACAGAGGGAAAGCTCTCGCCCCGGACACCAGGCTACCCTAACTTCCTCTTGTAAGTCTGACCCCACTGTGGTTGTGGTTTTCATTCCACTGAGGATCTCAAAGCCACCAGCTTCTTCCCTTCTTTCTATACCCAGGACCATGTTCTTCTCCTGAGTCCCCACAGCAAGGCCAGAGGAGCATCATAACCCAGCGCTCTTCATACTGGCCCTGCTCCTCACCCAGATGCTTGTCTGGCCTGCAAGGCCCAGCACGGACAGCTGTCTGTCCTCCGACCTCGGGAATCACCAGCTCTGAGGACACCTCTGCCCAAGCCTGCCCTGAAGAACGGTTTGCTCACAAGCCCATCCCTTTGAATCTGTTTTCTCTGCCTAGGAAGCTCCTCCTTCCCGTGTGTGCCTGCTTAATTTCTATTTCCACTGAAAGACTCAGCTCCATTATCACATTCCCCAAGAATTCTCCCCCGTGCTGTGATCACAGTGCCCTGGGCTGAGCACAAAGAAGTGGAATAACTGTCTCATGGCCTGGCAGTCTGGGCAGGGATGCGGAATTTTATCTTTTCATTCCAGGTACCTATCGACTCTCTAATAATGCTGGATGGATGGATGGATGGATGGGCAGATGGATGATAGATGGATGGATGGATGGATGGGTGGATGATGGATGGGTGAATGGATGGATGGATGGGTGGGTAGATGGATGGATGATAGATGATTGGATGGGTGGACGGATGATGGATGGATGGGTGGATGGATGATGGATAGATGGGTGGATGGGTGGATGATGGATGGGTGAATGGATGGATGGATGGATGGGTGGGTGGATGGATGGATGATAGATGATTGGATGGGTAGAGGGATGTATGGATGGATGGATGGTTGGGTGGACGGATGATGGATGGATGAATTGATGGTTGGATGGATGGATGGATGGATGGGTGGATGAGTGGATGATGGATGGGTGGGTGGATGGATGGGTGGGTGGGTGGATGGATGAATTGATGGATGGGTGGGTAGATGGATGATGGATGGATGTGTGGGTGGATGGATGGATGGATGGAGCTACTCTCAAAGATAAACAAGTCATGAAATGACGATGGCATTAGCAAGGAAGCAATGAGAACACGATGTCACTTCAACTTGGCCACTTTTATTGGACAGTTAAACATATCTCATTGAAGAAGTCCCCAAGGCACACAAGTACATACCTAAGAGAGCAGGTGCATGAGGCTAGGCAACATTCAATGACAGGAATGAGACAGATCTCATGGCTTAATGGTAGCAGAAGTCAAGAACCCATGGAGTTCCCCCTCTCAACCAATGCCCAGGAGCATTGGTTGAGAGTCCAGTACAACCAATGCACTGGACCATCAGGACACTGACATTTCCGAAGAGTGCTTCGAGGCCTAAGCAGGTGGCGAGTGACAGTGCAGTGACAAAAAGAGTCTAGCTAAGCCACCGTGAGCTAGCTGGGGACTGGCTTTGCCAGAGTCGCTGGGCGGAGGCCAGCTCAGCGGTTGGCAGGCTTGCTGGCGGCAGGCTTGCTGGCGGCAGGCTGAGGGGCTGCAGCCTCTCGGGTGATTGGGCTGCTGGGCTTGGCCTCCACAGGCTGGCAGGGGGTCTCCTCTGAGACCTCCGCCTTGCAGGGGGCTGAGTCAGCGCAGTCGGGCTGGCTGGAGGTGGACGTCTTGGAAGCGCGTTTACAGGTGGTGGACTCGGCGCAGGGCTGGCGGGAGCAGACAGGGCGGTACGAGTAGGAGGTGAAGCAGGCGGGGCGGCGCAGGATGGAGTAGCAGGGCCGGTAGCAGGCAGGGCGGTAGGAGATGGACGTCAGGTAGGGCTGCCTGAAGGTGATGGGTGTAGAGCAGATGGGGCGGCAGATGGGGCGGCAGATGGGGCGGTAGGCAAAGGAGGGTCTGCAAGGCTGCTTGCAGGAGCTGGGTATGTAGAAGGTCCGAGTGCAGCTTGGTTGGCAAATGGCAGAGGCAGAGGAGCCAGGACGGCTGTACAGAGGTTGGCAGGAGGTCGAACGGCTGTACAGAGGTTGGCAGGAGGTCGAGGGGCAGGAAACGGGCTCACAGCAGACAGAGTGGCAGCGTTTGACTACGTAGCAGGTGGGTGGGCAAGGATTGGGCACACAGACACACGGGGTGCAGGGGCTGGGCTCAGGGCAGATGGGTTGGCAGAGACCAGAGACGCAACACGGGGGCTCTTGGCAGGTGCTGGAGGCACAAGGAGGCTCACAAGGGCTGGAAACGCAGCAGACAGGACGGAGACAAACCGGCTCACAGACGAGTGCCACACAGGGAGCTGGCTGACAGTCGCTGGGCTCCGAGCAAGGCGGCTCACAAGGACTGGGGTTGCAGCAGACGGGCTGGCAGCTGCTGGCCTGAGAACAGACAGACGGGCAGCAGCTAGGCGTCGGGCACACCGGCTGACAGCAAGCGGGCTCACAGACCACGGGTTGGCAGAGAGTCGCACAGCAGCTGGGCTCACAGAGGACCGGCTGGCAGGGAGTGGCCTCACAGCACACGGGCTGGGCACAACTGCTCTCAGGACACGACGGCTGGCAGAGGGTGGCCTCACAGCACACGGGCTGGGCACAACTGCTCTCAGGACATGACGGCTGGCAGAGGGTGGCCTCATAGCACACGGGCTGGGCACAGCCGCTGCTCACGGAGCAGGACGGCTCGCACAGCGTGGCCTCACAGCACACGGGCTGGGCGCAGCCACTGCTCTCGGAGCAGGAGGGCTGACAGCACTGGGAACCGCAGCCAGATGAGCCGCAGGCATCTTCACACGTCACCAGCTGCCACGTCTGGGTATGGCAGGAGCTGGGCAAGCAGATGGGTCCTCCACAGCTCACCTCGGTGGAGCAGAGAGAGATGGCTGGCACGGAGGGGCATCTTCTGAAACAGCAGCTGCCAGGCATGGTGGAGGTGGCTCTCTTCCCTGTGAGCACTGGGCGGTAGCTCCCGACTGTGACAGCTCTCCTGGGCCCTCGCCTTTATACCCCGCCCTGGCGCGTGCTGTTGTTGGGTCTCTGCATCTTTTCCTTGTGGCTGTTTGGGGCAGTTTGCAAAGGAACATCTTATTATGCCAGTGTTTGTTGATCTGGAGGTTGTTTATCTGCCCATTAAGAAGCCATTTGTTGATGGACTTGCTAAATTTGGACTCCTGGGAGCTGCAAGCAGCACTGGAACAAGCACCATCACTTCCTAGCTGGGTGAACTCTATTTCCTAGCATCACGAACAAGGAAAGAAAAGAACGTATAATAATTGATAGTCTTCTATGCCAGGCCCTGGGTCGGGCACAGGGGATGCACACACGAATACATCCCACTGACCTGTCTCACGGGTCTCTCTCTGTGGGGGGCAGAGAGCAGGCAGGCAAACTTGGCAGCACATGAGTGCAGCAGCAGTGCCACAAGGCCACACGGGGGTTCGTGGAGAGCAGGGATGGGCTCAGTGGGGAGGAGACTTCGCAGCTAGATTGGAATGCCATTTACAACCACGATCTGATTTAGAACCATCAGTCGTCCCACGAGTCAGGGCTTATTTTTCCCCATTACAGGAGAAAAAGTGGGGGTGAAGGATCGGAAAGTCTAAGGCATCTGCTGAAGACCCCTCAAGCCTGCCCCCGTCTTCCAGGGCTGCTGTCTCGTCTCCTCACCAACCGTCTGAACTGGTGCTTCTCAGGACACGCGGTCAAAGCCGCACACCACTGGCTCAACCCATCACGCTGCCTCCCCACCTCCCCCCGCGCCCTGGACAGCCCTGCCCCAGAACATCTGGGCTTCCTGTCCCTGGAAAGCCTAACCCAGCCTCTCTGCCTCCTTCCACCCACGGCCACCCACTCAGGAGCTCCTCCTACATTTGAGACCTTGATAGCCCCTAAAATAAATAAATGAATGAAGATGCCTCTATGACCCAAGGACAAAAGGTTGCAGGGAGCCTCCCAAGGTTGTCTCTCAAAGCCACAGTAAACAAGCAACTCATCCTTGCCATGGCTTGACACGAAGGAGGTGAGAAATGAGCCCTCAGCTTCCTGCCATGCTTGCTCAGTGAAGGGCCTACCACACCTCCGCTGTGTGCTCTCAACATCCGTGCTGAAGGCGGCTCCCTCGGAAAAGCCCAGCCACTGCGCCTTCCCTCCCTTCCTCGCTGCGTTGATTGCTTGCTGCCGTCACTGGCTCAGTTTCTCCTTTGTTCAGCCAACCCTGAGTTCTCGGTGAGAGATACATACAGAGAGACTTGCAGTTCTGGCCGCAGGAGCTCAAGTTGAGAAGAGAGAGACCCACCCGTGGGGGATCATGGCAAAGCATCAAGTGCTGGAAGGGGGAGATGCCGGGGGCGCCCTGGGGAAACCCAGGAGAAACACCAACATGACTTTTGGGGACGTGAGCGGAACCTTCCCAAGTGACACGATGACACAGTTGATCACTGGGAGATGAAGGGAGGTGGTGAGCGCAAGAACAGGATGAGCTGTGGAAACCAAGGCTATGAGAGCAGGATCCATTTGGGGAGCAGAAAACATAGCCAAGGTTGAAAAGCACACAGGGACAGGATTAAGGGGGACACTCAGCCACAGAAGGCCTTGTGGCTCATGATTAAGAAACGGCTTTAGTCCCCAGCCTGGGCAGCTGTAGGCAGGACAGTAACGTGTCGGATGTCCCAGACCATGGAGACGGGTAGGGGAGGCCAGAGTGAAGGCACAGGGACCATTAGGGGTCTCGGACAATGAGGCAGAAGCTTGCTGGTGAGGATCTGAATGGAGTAGCACCCTGAGGCTGTAGCAATACAAGAGGTTTTAAAGAGGCAGAATCTACAGGCCTTAGTGGTTGCAAACAGATTAGGAAGGGGAAGTGCCATTCTTTGAGACGTGGCTCTCAAGCAGCGGGGAGGGAGGGCTTGTGGAGCTCTGCCAAGGATAAGGCAGAGAAAGACCCCCAAACCCCTGTTCCCCGTCCCCTCTTCCTCAGCTAAGCCACCATGGAATTCCAGAGGGGGGAGGCCCTCTTGGAAAATCCCTCCTGGACTCTCTCAGCTGAGAAGGTGACACAGCACCAGCCACTGTGCTAGAATGTCATTGCCTCAAAGACCCCTTCCCTGCTGCGTAGCCCACTCCTGCGTTAGTCTGCTCTGAGCTCAGGTCGCCTCTGACGCGAGATAAGCACCACGAGGGCAAGCACTTGGTCTAACGGCTGATGTACACCCAGCACCTAGAGTGGTGTGGATGCGTCAGAGGTGCACAGCTGCTAGCTAGTGAGTGAATAACGAGACTCTCTGGGTAGTTCAGAGGGGCAAGCCCTTGTCTAATTCAGGGAAATCACTGCCTCCACTGATGCTTGGAGAGACACGGCCATGGGCAATCAGCTGCTCAGGTTCACAAGCACTCAGCGCAAACCCACTGGCCTCCTAGCAGGTCCGTCCCACTGGCATGCACCTGCTCTGGCTGCCCCTCCTCCTGAGACGTTAAAGGTGCAGTTCAGAGGAGGCCAATTCCAGCCTGAACCTGAACCAGGGCAGACCCGAATCTCAGATTCTCTCCAAAAGATGACACTACTAACACGGCTGGATTGTGTTGTTTTGTTTTTTAATAAACGAAGATATAGGCCGGCACCGCGGCTCACTGGGCTAATCCTCCGCCTTGCGGCGCCAGCACACCAGGTTCTAGTCCCGGTTGGGGCGCCGGATTCTGTCCCGGTTGCCCCTCTTCCAGGCCAGCTCTCTGCTGTGGCCAGGGAGTGCAGTGGAGGATGGCCCAGGTGCTTGGGCCCTGCACCCCATGGGAGACCAGGAGAAGCACCTGGCTCCTGTCATCGGATCAGCGCGGTGCGCCGGCCACAGCGCGCTGGCCGCGGCGGCCATTGGAGGGTGACCCAATGGCAAAATGAAGACCTTTCTCTCTGTCTCTCTCTCTCTCACTATCCACTCTGCCTGTCAAAAATTAAAAAAAAAAAAAACGAAGATATGAAAACACAATCAGCTACCACTTGCCAGAATGACTAAAAATGAGAACGCTGACAATATCAAATGGTAACAAAGACATGGAACAACTGGAACTCTCAAATGTTGCTGGTTGAAATGCAAAATATCGGGGCCAATGATGTAGCAGGGCAGGTGAAGTGGCTGCCTGTGATGCCAACATCCCATGTGGTTGGTGGTTCAAGTCCTGGCTGCTCCACTTCTGATCCAGCTTCCTGCTAATGGCTTGGGAAAAAACAGCAGAAGATGACCCAAGTATTTGGGTCCCTGCCAGCCATGTGGGAGACTCAGATGAAGCTCCTGGCTCCTGGATTCAGCCTGGCCCAGCCCTAGCTATTGTGGCCATTTGGAGAACAAACCAATGGAAGGAAGACCTCTCTCTCCTTCTCTCTTCCTGTCACTCTTTCAAATAAATAAATCTTTAAAAAGAAAAAAAAAAGTAGATCGATGGCTTCCAGGACCTAGGCCAAGGCAGGGGGCAGTAGATCTGACTGTGAGAAGAAAAAAAAAATGAACACTTGGGAGGGGGTGGCAGGAAGCACTATCCTGAGAGCCAGTGGCGATTACAGAAGCTTAGAAAACCTCATCAGACTGAGCACTGAAGACAGGAAAACACTTTATTATTTGTAACTAATATCTCAATAAAGTTGGCTACAGAAAAGCGTCCCCCCAGGTGGGTCTGGGAAGAGACCCATCAGGCGAAACCCGAGCGGCGAGATTCTTCTCCACAATTTTCTGTATTTCATATTCTTGGGCTCGCGGATATGCACATACTCAGGAAAAATGCTTTCATCGGGCCAGTGAAGTGCGCCTCTGTAGGAATAAAAGAAACATTGCTCCTCCAGGCCAAGGGCAGAATTGGCTTTGTTTGCATGCGGGTTAAGAGCACTTCCCATCCTTTGAGTTGTAGCCTCCCAGCTGGCCCTGCACACCTGGCCCGGGCCCTCCCAGAAGATGCTCCTGCACCCCCTCCTCCCAGGGACTCCCGCAGAAAAAGCTGCAGCTCATTCCAGGACAAGAAAACCTAACACAGGAAAGCAGGGGCTGGGGGAGGGAACCGGGCTGCCGCCGGGGGCAGCCTCTGAAACCGCGCCTTCACCACGCCTGGCCGCAGGAACCCTCGCTCTCAGAACTGGAACCTGCTCCCAGGCTCTGCAAGGCAAGGCAGACGCCCTCCAGTAGAAGTCCCCGCCCCGCCCGGGGGGGGGGGGGAGACCGTGCAGAAGGAAGCCGAGCCCCTCTGCCTGGATTGAGTTGGGCCAGCATTGCCATCACCCCAGGAGCTTTCGAAAGCCCCAGGGCCCAGGCACCCCGGAGCGCCTGGATCCGCGCTCTCGAAGGTGTGGCCCAGGCTCTGCAGCTGCGAAAGCTCCAAGCTTCAGTTTCCAGCCGCAGCTCTCAAACGTCAGTGCCTGAATAAGAGCTGTCTGAGGTTCTTTGTAAACACAGAATCCCAGGCCACACCTCTCTGGGATTCTGATTCTCCCAGAGGGGGCCCCAGGATCTCCAGCTTTATTTAATGGGTCCTGGGGTGATTCCACATTTCCAAAACCCTCGCGCTGCTGCTGCTGCCAGGGTCCGTATTGCTAAGCTAGTCCCCAGGAGGAGCGGAAGGAAGACGCCAGAAAAGTGCTTGGATTACGCCAGCATGCTCGAGTTTATTCGGAGGGTAACAAAGTGGTTTGTGTTTTTTTTTTTTTAAACTCTCAACAGCAACAGAAACCTAAGGAGGAGGCTCAGTCCCAAGGTCACCTTGAATAAGAAGGTGCCCTGTTTAACTTCATGCAAATAAAGTCACGGGCGTTCACCCTTTGAACTTCTGGAACCACGTTGCTGGGACCAGTTCTAATTTCTCGCCAGGACACAGCTTCTGTCCGCAGGCACTCGAAACAAGCCCTCCTCTACAGATCTCAGCCAGCCAGGACACGCTCTTGGGGGCGTGGAAGGTTCTGGAGACGAGGGCTTCTCCGTCGGGAGCTCTCGGAGGCTTGCTCAGGGGTGGCTCGGTG